ACGACTTTAAAATCTATTGAGTTTGTTTCAAAAATTATATGCTATGGTAACTTCTGAAGGTAATGGGTGTCCTTCTGCTATAAGTTGTTCTTTCAATACCATTTGAAGCTTTGTGTTAAAAACTTTCATGTCATCTCCTGTATCTAAGTTCACATACACAGCAACAGGGAAACTATCTTGCTTCTTTGTTTCATCATTATATCTCAAAACATTAAAGTTCTTCAATAATATTGTTCTTCCTGCTGGAATACTTCGAACCTGTCTGATTTCAATAGCTTTCTCACCTCCTACATACTCTACCCAGTGTCTTGGATATTCATAAGTATACTGACTTTCTTGAATTTTGGTAGGTTTCATCATAACGTGTTCATAGTATATATCTTTATACTCTTGTCAGTTAGACTCGGTGCTATGTTCTGAATATTTCTGACTTGCATTTTTAATGGAGATAAAATGAAGCATTTAATACATGACGTAGATGAAGACATGAATGAAACTACAGACAAACTTAACTCTTCTCTTATTCTTCCTTTCAGCAAAGATTATGAGTTCTGTTCAAATGGTGTGTATTTCTATTGTGGAAAGATGGGTTCAGGTAAGACATTTAACCTCATTCGTCATATACTCATAACAGAGCGTTTAGGAAACGACTCTTACTATGACCAAATCATTATATCAGCAACTTCAGACTCTATGGATTCAACAGCGAAAACATTCATGAGTAAAGTTCAAGCATCTGTCGTTAAAGTTCCAGATAGCGAACTTATTGAATTTCTTCAACGTTACATTCGACGTAAGAGAAAATATTATGCTATTGTAGAGTTCATACAGTCAGGAATGCAAAAGACTTCAGAAGAGATGGAAAGAATTATTGACAAACACCACTTACGTCAGTACTCAGGAGTTTACGATATGAAACGACTGACAAACTACATTCTATCAAAACTTTCAAAATACCCCTTCAAAAAATATCCTTCAAACACTCTGCTCGTTTGTGACGACTTCGCCGGAAAAGGTTTAGTGTCAAAGCCTGACTCACCATTAGCTAACATCATAACTAAAGTCAGACATTACCATTTAACTGTAGCAATACTTATGCAAACATGGAAGTTTTTAGCTTTAAACATAAAACGTCTCATAACTGACTTCGTTATCTTTCAAGGTTTCTCACGTTATGATATTGAACTCATTTGGAAACAGTCAGGTATAACATTACCTTTTGAAGAAATTTGGGAAGCATATAAGTCTCTCATCTCTCCTCGTTCATACCTTGAGATTCATATCATGACTAATACCATTAAAGTCAAAAATATTCCATGGGAACGACCAACATTGTTTTAAAGTTTAACCTTCAATTGACTGATGGTAAACAAATTCCATGCATCTTTGTCGCCATTTCTGTTAATATTTTTGCTGTCATTAATATCATCCACTTCCCCATCCGTTAGCTTTTGAGGATATGCGTTAGAATAGCTGTTCTTAAATGAAGGCTTTTCACCTTTGAGAGCATAAACTCTATAACTTTCTGCATACTTTATGTTTGAACCTCCTGGGCCATCATTGACATAAATTTTTATAGGCTTCCACCCTTTGTTCATGTTCCTGCTTCTTCCCTTTGCTCTTTTGTTCAGTAGTTCTACATCTTTATACACAGCTCCTGTCTCAGTGAATTCAACAATATTTTCATTCGTTAGCTTTACATTCAAACCCTTGTCGAGTATATTGTTCATTTCATACATATAAAAGGTTTTTATTCTATATGAAATGAGAAGCAAATCCATCTTAGCTGGTGCCGTTAATGTTCCAATTGAACCAACATCAAATGTTGACTCACGAACGACAAACAATATTGTCATAAAGAACTATAGTTCAGAGTGTTTGAAAGAAAAAGAACCAGAACTTAAGTCGGGACCTTCGGTCTTGGAGCATGGCGCCGTGAATTTAAACACAGCTTCAAACGCTAACGCTACATCAGATGTTAAGTTAGAGTATCCACCACTGGACCAAGTTCTTTCAAGAGAAGCCAACGACAACCCTTACACAAATGTTCAAACAAATCCATCAGATAACGTAGACCATTACCTTCTTCAGTTATACCAAACAATTTTACTCAAAGACGATAAGAAGCTTTTGACAAATCTTATAAGCAAGAACCAAATAATTCTAACAAAGGAGGACCTTGAAAATGTTATCTCACGAATAACAGGGAAACAATGTGTCATTGACTATCTCGACCCTGAAATCGAATGCTGTGGTCAAACGCCACCATTCATGAAAAATAGGTAACATCCGCATCATTGAAACACCAGGAACTACAGGAGTTGAGTTTAAGTATAAATATTAGAACGAGTATACAAAACTTTCAACAGAATATAAACTTTGTTTGAAATATGTTTTAGTAAATTAAAGCAGTCAGGAGGGCTCTTTTGACCCATCTTGGCGCTTTGCGCCGTCAGTCAAAAAAAATTTCAAGTTAGCAATTTGTAATATCTATCCAAAACTTCTTCAACAGTATCGAACTCATCTTCATAATGCAAACCTAATCTTATTGACTTGGTGCAGTTTTCACTAACACAATATTTTTCTGTTCTCTTGACTGACATAACTAATTCATTTGTTTCATCAAACAGCAACAACCAAAGTTCATGACCTAATACATAACATTCATACTTTATATTTTTAGCTCTGAGTTCTCTTGTAAGCTGTTGCATTTAATATTTTCTAAAAGTCAACTTCAACAGTCATTCGCACTGGTGCCTTCAGTTCTACAGGCTCTCCTTGAAAGTCAACAAGTCTGAATTGCATGTCTTTCAAATTATGAGACTAATGCGAACCCATTTACCTAAATGAGTTCTATGACAGGAACGTTTGGAATGAACATTGAATTTACTTCATAACAGAAGGATTTATATTCTACTGAACCTTTACTATTAACTCCTGAAATGCCTGTGACATTAGCTATTTTTGACTCAACGTACAAACAATTACCATAACATACGTATGGAACAGATTTCATCTCAATCGTTTTGTCAACACTTTTCAAAGGAAATGTCATATGGTATGCTCCCAGAAGCAATTGAACTCTATGACTCATTCGTGTTATCTTAAACTCCTTCGCATAACTGAACTTCAAAACTCCTGCAATAAGTTTAACATTCATTAAGTTTTCTTCGTTATCCTTGTTTATTGTAGTATTTATGAGAGCATTTAACACTCCAGCTAATGTTTCCATCTTATATTCTACATTATTGTGAAATCTTATTTCGTGCTTCTTTCCATCTATTTCAATCTCTATGAAATCTGTTTCATCTGTTATGACAAAAGTTGCGATAGTATTGAAGTCAACCATTCTGAATGCAAGCGCCTCATTCTGTAGACCTAAGTTTGTTTGTAGCTTTACTGTCCCGTATTCGTTTGGGTCTGTACTTTGCAAATAGAACAACATTTTATTCTCATTAAAATATGAGTATAGCTGCATATGCGTATGAAGCTGACAGAGCTAAACGTTTATATTTTGGTCAATACTCTCTCACACTTACTGACAAATATATTGTTATCACTGATGGAAATACTGAGAAATATATAACATGGAAGGACTATGAAAAGTTTGACCCTATTTTAACTCCATGTACTATGCCGTTTATAAAGGACGGTGAAATTATTGAAAAAGATAATACAACCGTATATAGGTCTGTTTATGAAGCATTAGAATATATGTTGAATCATAACCCAAAAAGATTTGACCCAAGCACTACACCATGTGCAATGCCTTTTATTAAGGACGGTGAAATCGTAAGAGTTCCGGATTCAACGGTTTACACAGCTGTTCAAAACAGTTTACAAAACATTTTAGCGAATATCTTTAATTCAGAAACTACAGAAATAAAATTACCGTATATAACAGATGCTAAAGAAATTAAATCAAAAACGACAACATTATTTACGTCACTTAATGATTTAATGACTTATATCATTAATATTCCTGCACCAACTACAGCATTTGATCCAAACTCGACGGTTTGCAGTGTACCTTTCATAAATGACAGTTCATTAATTGCTTTAAGGGATTCGACAGTAAATGAATCATTAAAGGCGTCATTAATGAAGATCATTGATTTTAATTCATTCATGAATACATATAATTCATTCATTAATGTTTCATATGCTTCTAAAGAAGGTGAGCCAAAAACTATCGATAAAGCGGTGTATGAAATAAAAGCATCAACGACGAAATTGAATTCGTTAACTTTTGACGGTGATAGTTTCGTTAATGACATAACATCGGGGAAAACAATTTTAACGAAAGAATACTTAAAATCTCATGTTAGTGAGTTCGTTGAAATTGAAAAAGAAGGTGGAATTAAGTTCGATCCACTGAATTTCATTTTCAGCTTAGCGAATGCGGGTGTTAGTTTCGCTGAATGGACAACTATACAGAGTGAAATAAATGCAATATGGACGTTTTTGGGGTCAAAAGCGGGAATGGGTGAGCTTGTAAATGCTGCAAGAACATTAGGTGAAACAGGAAATTTTGTAGATGGTTTTAAAAGACTTGTTTCAAATGTTTTAACAAACACAAAGAAATTATTTAGATATACCATACATAACGGACGGATTTTCGAACAGATAGCAACAAACTCTCCGGTTATGGCTGCGTTGATGATGGTTAGAGATATAAAACCACGTAACGACGGGAACGAAGAACATGAACAACAGGATACTGGTCGGGTTATTCGAGACATTAAAAACGTGTATCCTGAAGTTATTGATTTATTTAGAGGAGTTAATGATTCAATTTCAAAACATTCTATAACCCTCGATGAAGAGAATAAATTAACAGATTATATATTCGTCATTATTGCAGAACTAATGAAGAGAATAAATGAAAAAGAATTGGTGATATCATTAATGTCAGCGATGTAATGATGAAAAGAAATTTTGACTCATTATTTACAAAACCGAAAACAGAATATAGTCTTTATGACGTAATTACCGAATTAATGAAAAAGATTAATGATAATAAGAGTTCTGGCGGAAGAGTTGAATTAGAAGTGAATGATGTTAATGAGAAATTAGCCGAAAAAGCAGACAAAAATGAGCTTTTAGCTCTGAGTGATAAAGTCAAGAACCACGTTCATTATATAACTTCAGACGAACAGATTATAACGGACTACCATGGATATTTAACACGAAGTGATGAAGCGAAGACAAAAAATGTTAATGAAAGAAGATATAAATACATTTGTGCTAAAGGTTATGACATAAGCTGTACTGTACAGTATGATGTAGCTAAAGCACCAGAAGCATTTGGTTATACCGGTGAAATTTATGCCTCTACTTTCAATGTTAACGGTGTATTAGTTGAACCAAGATTTACTTTGAGAGTTAAGGCAAAAATAACGTTTGAAGATGCTATTAAAAGTAAAGCTGACAAAGTTGAACTCGAAGCAATGAACAAAGTTTTGAAATCTCATAAACACAATATCTCCGATATAAATGAACTTCAAGCTACATTAAATAGTAAAGCTGACAAGAACCATACACATAAATCCTTCACTACTGTTAGAGCAGACGACATAATATTGAACTATACCCTTGGTTCAAGTGCACCTTTAGAGAATCCGAGTACAAGCGTAAAAGATACACTAAACTCCTTAAATAGTAAATGTATGAACATTGAAGGTCATGTCAGAAACTTTGAAGCATATGAACTACCAGCAATGTTAGATAAGAAAGCAGACAAAACAGAGCTTCAAACATTAAAGACTGAAATACTTCAAACATTATATCCTATAGGCTCTATTTATACGTCAATGAACTCAACAAATCCAGCAACAGTTTTAGGTTTTGGTACGTGGCAGCAGATTGTAGATAAATTCTTATACTGTGCTAACTTTTCAAAGCAAACAGGAGGTTCGAAGAAAATTAAAGAAGCAAACCTTCCACCGCACACTCATACAGGAACTACAAACTTTTCTGGCGACCATAGCCACTCATTAAGAGACCACCCATTATACAACTCGGAGTATGAAGCTGGCCATGACGTTTTATCTCCATCTTATAACAATTCAGCAAAAAAGATTTTTCGACCAACTGAACCAGGAGGAAATCATTCACACACTTTCACAACAAATCCAACAGGCTCGGGTGAAGATTATATGCCACCATTTATGACTGTATTCGCATGGTATAGAGTTCAATGAACGCGCTTGAGCCTAGAATAAAATCTTTAACTTTACATAAATGAGCTTGAAAGAAGTATTCGAACAACATCCATGGAGGTCATTTAAGAAGTTCAATGAAGCTGCAAAGAGTTGGGGATTTACTAACAGAGCTGAAGTGAAAAGGTTCTTTGACAAAAATGTTGTACATCAAACAAAAATAAACCCTTACGACTACTTTTTACCAATTTACTCCAACACTCCTGACGCATACCAATTTGACACTCTCATTCAAAGCAGAAAAGGAGGACATAAACCATTCCTCATCTTCATTAATGTTAACACTCGCAAAGCTTTTGCGTATATAATGAGAAATAAAGGAACTCGTGAAGTGTTAAGAGTTTTACAAAAGTTTGTAGCAGAACATAGCCCAAGTACTTTAACATCAGACCAAGACAGTGCATACCTCAGCAACGAAATCACAGAATTTCTCATTAAGCATAACATAACTCACTACACTACTGAAGACCATAACCATAATATTTTAGGTATCATTAATCGCTTCATAAGAACGCTCAGAGATTTAAATCAAGAGTGAGACTTTACCGAAGAAACAATGAAACATTTTCTCGAAGTATATAATTCCTCAACAAATTCTACAACAGGACATACACCAAATTCAATGACACAACAACAAGAAGAAAAGTATATACAAAGAAACGAAGCCAAACACAAAATATCAGAAATTCAACACAATTTACCCTCATTCCTGGTACAAAAGTTCGTGTAGTTCTTGACGACAAACCGTTGACAAAGAAACGTTTAAGGTTAAGTAGAAACTATTATATCGTAGACTCTACGCAAGGTAATGGATATCTTATAAAAGCTGCCGACGACTCTATTGCGTTTTACCCTCGTCACAAATTAGTTGAAAGTAGTAATGGCAAACTTGCTGAAACCATTGACGAAGCAAAGCGAGGAGTGGTTATTGAAATACTTGGCTATAACATAAACGATGACACTTATAAAGTAAGATATGAAGGAGGCGTTGAAGATGTTATACCATCTAAGAACTTGAGAGAGTCGAAGCCAACACATCTGGGACCATTAGAGCGGGAGTACTGGAAAGACAAAAATAAACCAGAAAGAATAAGAAAATTCTTCTAAACTTTTTCATTAGATGTAAATCAGACATGAATAATGTTTAGGGTAGATGGTTAGATCTAACCTCATTTCTACCCTCACGAATTTTCATGAATTCCTTAAGATAGAAAAATAACGCTAATTTTTTCTAACAAATTTTTTTATTTTGTATGTAAGAACAGAAATGTCAGTCGAAGCAAAAGCATTCACGAACAAATCTAATGGCGAAACATTCACAAAAGGCACTTATAACGGTATTGAAGTCTTACGTAGAGACAAGGATGGTTACATTAATGCAACAAAGATGGCAAGAGAAGCGGGAAGGTTAAACCATTTAAACAGATTTCTCAATAGTACTAAAATGCAGGAAATTCTTGAGTTTTGGATGAACGAATACGGTCAAGCCAAAAGTGGCTCGACCTCAAAACAAGCATTTTATGAGCTTACTAAGGGCGTTATAAATGAATTCAAAGGTATTTACATACATCCTGACCTCGTTCATTTTGTTGCTGAATGGTGCTCTGTAAAGTATGCATTTTATGTCAAAGATATTATGGACTCCATAGACAAGAAAGTTCATGAGAAATTAGATGAAGAAGAACTTGAAGATACAGTAGAGAATGCAAAACATTTGTTTGAAGAAGAAGTTAGGAAAATGCATGAAAAACAATTAGAACATGAACGTGAGATGTGTTATGGTTATAGAGATTCTCCATACGAACTAGACCAATGGGAACAAGAAGATTTAAAGAGAGAATTTAGAGAATATGAACTCGCTAAGATAGCATTAGAAGCTGCAGAAAAGAAGTTAAAAGTTTGGGGTCGTTTTGTACAAAAACATTGTGAGTAAATGAACCATTTCTTTTGTCATAAACGACCAAAAATAATGTTTAGGGTAGAAGGTTAGATCTAACCTCATTTCTACCCTCATTTCTACCCTAGCCGCTTTGCGGCTCTGACCTTTGGGTCTCATGAATTTTCATGAATTTCCTTAAGATAGAAAAATAACGCTAATTTTTTTCTAAGAAAAATTTTTATTTTGTATAAAAGATATGATTTCAACAATCGGCACAACAACAATTCAAACAACTTCACCAAACTCGTTAGTCATGAATCCAACATCTATGTTAGTAGAGATGAAAAGCTTCATTCCTTCTTCATATAGTTTTGTAACAGAAATACAAAGAATAAAGCAAGAACTTTTAACAAGTAATTTAGACTGTACCGCACAGGATGAAGAAAATGAACAGTATCTTTATGAAATGCAGGACATTATTGACCATTTACCCAAATTGCCTGAAATTCAGCAGCAAAAACTAACTATTCCTGAATTCGATGAAATTGAAGTGAAACCAACTGACTCAGTAGAAATAAAGAAGTTCATATGTAAAGTAAACTATGAGTTTCTAGGATATCATTGCAACCATAAAGTTATGGACAAAGATTGCGACATGGTATATAAGAACATCTCTGACATATATAAATCGGGGGAGTTTAAGACATACGACAACTTTGTTTCATTAGTTGCAAAATGTGTATGGCAGATAAGAGATAAAGATAGAAGAGGTAAGGTATGGAATGAACAGATAAAACCAACTGCTTCAGATTTAAAGAAAACCATTGACGCCTTAGTTGTTCTAGCTGGTTTTATTTCAATGTATAACGCAAAAACGATGCCGCAATGTTCAAAATGTAAGGCAGCAATGAGGAAATATAACTACTCCGTCAAAGAGATAGAAAGAATGCGAAACGACTATGCAGACTTAAAGAAAGAAGCAGAAAAACCAGCAGAAGATAAAATGGACATGTTAGAATTTCTGAACAAAAACTATCCAACTGCTGACGATTTCCTTCTATCTGACGTCAAGAAGAAGTATAAAGAAACCTTCGGCATTGTTAAAACATTCGATATATTAACTGAAGAAATAGAAGCTACAAAACTGTTTAGAATCTCACGAATTCATAACGTTTACCATGTAAAACAGTTATAAATAATGAGGGTAGAAATGAGGGTAGAAATGAGGTTAGATCTAACCTTCTACCCTAAACATTATTTTTGCTGAAAAATGACCAAATTTCATGAATTTCATTAGTTAGAAAAATAACGCTAATTTTTTTCTAAGAAAATTTTTTATCTTGTATGTAAAGACAGTAATGTCAAACATTGAGTTTGAAACAGTTAGAAAGATAGACAATGACACCAAAGTGGTTAGAATTGGTGATTTAAACGTAAGATACTGTAAGAAATACAACAAATATTCTTTGTCAGACATTATATCTCCATCTGAAAAGAAAACAAACCACTGGGTTAGAAATGCTTCAACTCAGAAAATTTTGACAAGAAATCCTGAGCTTATGATATCGGTAAGATTCTATGGAACTACAGCATATCTCATTGACAAAAGTCTTATACCAATAGTTTTGTTATGGTTAGACCCAGTTGTTGGATATAACTTCATAACTTATGGTTCATTCGATACGGAACGTTGCAGTGAAGGCTTACTTTACATCGTTCAGAAATCGAAGGACTTCAATACAAAGAGATATAAGATAGGAAGAACATATAATATAACTCAAAGATATGACTCTACAGTCAATAGAGTCAAGGTTGTGTTTGTTAATGATATGAGAGCTGCTGAAACAGAACTGCTTGAAGTTTTTGAGAAAATGTATGGTGCTCCCACGAAAGGTAAAGAAACGTTTGAAGTAGATGAGATAGATAAAGCTATAAAATTATTTGACGAAGTTGCTGAAAAATACATGTAAAGCGTTTATTTTTGGTCTTTTGTAAAAGTCAGAAAATAACGCTAATTTTTTTCTAACAATTTTTTTATTTTGTATGTAAAGACAGTAATGTCAACATTAGAGAACACAACAACAGTTATAGTCCATGAAGCTATAAATGAAGAATATGAATACATACAATATAACAAACAACTTCGCCTCATTCGTTCGGTCAAAGACGATATGTACCAAATGCAAAGTATAATGAACGCTCTTCGTTCTACAAAGCAAGCATATCATTGGTTTGAAAACCAACAGACAAAAGAACTTTTAGAAGAATTTCCTCATATGATTGCTTCCCTCGGAAAACCGGGGGAAGAGATTCCGTACGAAAATCGCAAGAATTTGGCACCTGGTTTGAAAGGTTATTATGTTCATAGACTTTTAGTAAATGCTGTAGCAATGTGGGCTTCACCTCGTTATGCTTGTTATATTTTCATGATGTTAGATGAACTATATAAAGCAGAACGTGGAGAGATGGAAAAGAAACTTCAAGCAAAAGATGAAGTCATTGAATCCAAAGACAAAAGCATACAGAAAAGAATACCACGTTCGGTACCAAAAGGAAAGGAAAAGAGTTATAAGTATATGATATATACTGAAGAGTTGGAGAAAGAAGAAGATAAAGATATGGTTATGTTGCATTTAGTGAGAAGAAACAACAAGAGCTTTTATGACTTAGCTAAAATATATAAATCTGACAGAAACTGGTTCTATCGTGAAAACTTACCGATTTCAATGACACCGAATGAACAAATAAAGGAAATTGTCAAAAATACTCTTCCTCAAACACACTATGACATCAAAGGTTGCACAATACTTACATTCAAAGAAGACTTAACATTACTGAAGGAAAAAATAACAGAATATTTCGATATCTTCAAAGAGGAAGAATGAAGTCACGACAACATTAACGAAGAAGTCACGACAACATTAACGAAGAGAGAATGAGGTGAAAAAAGAGGTGAAAAAACGGGTGAGATCTCACCTCTTCACCAAAAATATATTTTTGCTTAAATAGCTTCAGGGTCTATTTCTTCAACCATTTCACTTCCTTCGCAATGTCAATAGAAGCTTCTTCAACCTTTGGTAAGAATTTCTGTATAACATCTTTGTTCGTTATTGTCTTCAGAGATGAAGGATAATATTTCACATTTGTTTCACCTTCTTATATTCTTTCTGTTCGGAAAGATTTAAAGCAATACTGAAGAAGTCAATGTTAGAGTTCTTTATAACAGTATAATGAGTATCTTTGACATTCACGAAGAAACTCTTTTGTTTCAAAACTACTGCTAACTCTTGTGAAGTATAACGTTTGCGGTCAATGACGATAGCTAATGGTCTGACATACTGACCAAACTTAGATTCTTTCACAAACTTCTTGTTAAAGATAACATTAACATTTGAAGCATTATTGAACTCATTCTTGATGGCAGTAGCGAGAGCATTGTATGAAAAGAACTTGCAATCTTGCATGTGTTTCATTAAAATAAAAAGTTTGAAATATTTTAAAACTAACCTTAAAAAATCTAAGCTAATTTTTTTCTAAGAAAATTTTTTATTTCCTACTAAAGATGTATCGGAAGTTGTCTAAGTTAGAACACTCGGAAATAAAACAACTTCTAACAGAAGCTAACATAGAAGTAGCAAAACATTACGCAACAAACAAAAAAGCACTCGCTGACATCCTCAATGACTACAATGGTGCTATAAGTTATGATAGAATTCATGAGTTCATAAAGCCGCAACGCGGCGAGGACGAAGTCCATGCAAGAGCATTTCCTTTAAATGACGTTGCTATTGACTTATATCATAGACGTTCAGTACCTCATGAAGTAAGAAGAGAAATGTTTGACATAACAAATGCAAA